GATTCTATCAGTTCTTAAGGAGTTAGAATTGGTTTAGTTATAAATTGTATGTTAAAAACGAGTTTTCTTTATGTTACCAATGCTTTTAACATGAGAGAATTGAGAGATCCACTGATTTGCAACTTCTTTTGGTGTTTATGTATATGGTTGAATCAGCTTGGAAGAGGCCAAGCAGAAAATCTATGCTTGTAGCACAACTACTTACCAAGGTTTTCAAGCAATTATGACTGAACAAGAATCAGAAAAGTTCAAGGGTATAGCTCAAATAATATATCTTCTTTTCCTTTCGAAGCAATTATTTGACTAGAGATTGATAACTCGTATGTTGTTCGGTATGTACAGATCTACCCGGAGTGGTCTTCATATTGCCAGATTCCTACATTGATCCTGTGAACAAGGAGTATGGAGGTGAGTGTTGTTTTATTCTGGATTCATACAGTTTTTGACTATTGGAACACTAAATTTAAAAAATTCTGCTTCTTGGTTTTTTTTCAGGAGATAAATATGAGAATGGTGTGATCACACATAGGCCACCACCAATTCAGATGAACAGGTCAAGACCCCGTGATAGGGGCAATCCTAGATTTGACCGTCAAGGAGGAGGAGGAGGCGGTCCTCAAAACTTCCAAAGAAACACAGGGTATGGTCAGCTACCGCCAATGCAAGGTGGTGGAGGAAGCTATGGTCCTCCACAGAGCTATGGACCTCCAGGACAAGGTCAGGGAACTCAAGGGCCTCCACCATTTCAAGGAGGTTACAACCAAGGACCTGGATCTCCTCCACCACCTCCATATCAGGCGGGTTACAATCAAGGCGGCCCAGGATCTCCGGTTCCTCCATACCAAGGAACACCAGGCGGTTACGGTCAAAGTGGAGCTGGGAACTATAGCCAAGGGCCACCACAAGGAGGTTACAACCAAGGAGGGCCTAGGAATTACAGTCCACAGGGTAATGGAAACTATGGTCCTGCACCCGGAGCTGGAAATCCCGGATATGGTCAGGGATTCACTGGAGCTGGACAACCGCAGAACCAAACAATTCCACAGGCCGATCAGAGGATTCCAGACTGGAACAACAATAATCCAGCAGGCCAGCCCGGGTCTGACCAAGTAAGGACTTAACCATAAATGAATCTTACATATTAAGTAGAATCATCAAGCATTGACGCACTCCATTTTCCGCGTAATTGTTACTGAGATGGTTCTTTGTTTCAGTTTCCACAGGGAAGGAGATACTAGACACAGACATGATGTCTTTCTCTGCTGTGAATTGAGCTGAACAAGGAGAAGAGAAGTGTTGAAGGCCTTTTATTAAGTTCTATGTAGTACATAGTTTTTAGTCATCTTCCTACTTGTTTAAGACAATAATTTAGCCCTTTTCTCCAAAGTTGAGCTTTTTGAACGCTGTTGGTTTGCATCTCTTAGTTGAAACACTTATGCAAGTTGTTCTTTTTGGATCTAATCTGGTTTTTGTACCATATCCACTGAAAGCTATTGTATTGAGTCTATTGACTAATGAAGTAAAGATCGATTGAAAACTCTATTAGAGCCAATTGAATAGAAATGATGGGACTTTGTAAACACTTGGAGCTCTTTACATGGAGATAATGTTTCTATCAAGTCTACTAGACAATACTTTCTTGTTTCTTCTTGACTGGTGGCAGTCTTGATAATACCCAAGTAGGAGACTCGTTTAGCCACAGTGCTTCACCTGTCTCCTTGTGCTTGAAATCAGGGGCTTTCGCATTTCTCTACACGCAAAAGAAAAATGATATTGGAACAGTGATCAATTTCTTCAAAAGATTGACGAAAATACAGAGCAGACAATATACTACCTTGTCAACTCTATTGTCCCACCATTTATCCGGATTCTGAACCAATTCCTTCCATGATTCTTCTCCTACACCATTTCAGACCAGATTTTGGTTTATAGAAACATACATAAACATATACCACACAGTTCCACACATCTTCTTTGTGTAGCTTCATATGTACATGGAAAACAATGTGAAACTTTACCTTTAAGTTGTTTCACTGCTCTGGTTTTAGGGACTAGAACATCAAACTTGAGTCCTTCGAGCTTTGGCAAAACCCAATCAGGAGCCTTATTGAGCCACAGTGAGAGACTGCTGTCTTTGTTTTTGAAATCAGGATGTCTTGGTTTTACCTATAGAAGAACAAACAGAGAACTCAAAAACTAGTAGAGAAATCGAACACACGCCATATCAAATTAACGCAAATAAGATGAGGATGCATTGTTAAGCACATTGGGCAATTTACCAATCCGTTGGCTTTATTTTCGCGGTGATCCCACCATTCTTTAGGATTTTCAATTAGGTGATTCCAAGAATCAGAAGCTTCATCTATGACAACATCCTTCTTAACTCTAGCTAGAGAGTCAAAACATTGTCAAAGCATTAGCACAGAGAGTTGAAAACACATTATATTGATGAAAACCCATTACAGAAAGCCGGAGAATTATCCCCCAAAGAGCCTTTGCTCAGACCTAACTCATGAACTAAGAAAAAACAACACATTTCATGGATTTATGAAAAGAAAGAGTCTTGTGCCAGGAATATCATCTAACACATACCAGGCCGCTTCTTGATGACAATTTGTTCCTTTTCAGGTGATGATATAGCCATAGACCGAGAACTAGGCTGTACAAAATCGAGATTCTGGACCAGCACCTGTTGAAAGCAAACCACCTTAAGTTACAATGATACACTGGAACTATCCATACAGATTCAAAGGAAAAAAACAAAACACATGAATGAGAGAATCGAATCAAACATAGTTTCTATCTAATGAAATCTTAACAAGGGACACACTCACACACACCTGAACATTGGCTTGAGCATAAGTCATATTTGGAGGAGGAGAATCTATAAACAGCTTTCCAGAAACATGAATACAATCGTCTTTACTTATATATCGAGCTGCGATTTTCGCTAAATCACCTTCGAATATTATCGGAATCCTGAACACAACCAAAGCCAAAACCTTTTTAATTCAATCACATACAAAACACAAAACTTTCTAATAATCACACCAACACCAAGAATTGAGTATTACTATATTTCATATAATGTGAAACCAATAAGATAAACCGGAGAGAAAGAACAAGTACCAGAAAGCAGAGGAATCTAAACCGGATCTTTGTGAAATAACAGTACCAGCCCAGAATTTGCCATCAGAAGAAGCTTCGAATTGAACAGGTTGGTCAACAAAACCAATCAGATTGACCCAATTCGCCATTTCCGTCTCGTAAGCTATCTCACTCGGCCGAGCCAATTCATTCTCCGTCGTCGTCGCCGTCGCTGGAACCACCACCACCTCCGGCTTTTTCACCGGCGGCTTGGCTCTTTGTTTCCTTCCGGGTTTTCCGGCGACCGCCGCAGTGTGTAAACGGATTTGCTGAGAGTGAGAGGTGAATCGTTTTCCGGTAGGGATTTGTGTTGCTCTCGGATGGATAAACGGCGAACATTCGATTCTTGTTAAGGATTTGGAAATCAAATTCATTTTTTCATAACAATGAGAAAGAATCTGACTTGTTTGAGACCAAAGAGAAACCCTAATTTTTGTGTCAAAGGGTTTAAGGAAAGAAATTGAAGAAAAAGGGGAAATTTTTATTTTTCCCGACAGGTTAGTGATTGATGACTGTCGTTTAGTTGGCGCGGAGTAACTGTATCCTAAATTATTCAGTTCATAATTTGTTTTGGGCTTCTATTGGGCTTATGAATTTTCAATTGAAGATAGATAATTGTGATGGTTAATTAGTAGAGATTATTGGTTTATGGATTTTAGTTAATTTAAAAATAAAATAAAATTATGTGTTATGAAACTTTTTGTTTTAAGTTATGTATTTATCAAAATATTATGTTATTTGTTCTTTTAAAGATTAATTGAAATTCTATGTTATTCGATATTAAAAATTTACGTAAAGGTTTAATTTCACGGTTGATTTTAATGAATATTGCAAAGATTTCTAAATTAACTTACGGATTTACGAATATTAATTGAAATTTACATGTTTTATTTTGAAATTATTAAATATTACAAAGATTTCTATATAAAATGTTCAAACCAATGAAAATACACACCTTCTTAATGTGTGTGTACTTTTAAAGATTATTAAAAATAACATTTTACTGAAATAGAATATCATACAATAAAATTATGATCAACATAATTAGAGAAAAAAATGGTCGCCACCATGAATCATTTCCAAATGAGTTATAACCGATTTTAGTTTTTGGAATACCGCAAATTCATGCTTGCTTTATTTAGATTCATGGCCAACCCTCCGTACATATCATTTTGTTCACATATATCATATGGATACAATATAAAAGTATACATAAAAAATATGCGTATAGTGTAGGCTTAGGACTAGACTAACTAGTATTGCATATCGAGAAAAATAATAAGCTAAACGCCATGCATATAAAACATGTAGATAAATATGATTTCAGTCGTCATTTTGTTGTATATTGACATTTAAAGACAAACGTCTCACCTTTCACGTTATAGCCGTTATTTTCAAAAAAATATATAAAATATTGTGGGGGTGATACAATTAAGGACTTTAACTAGGAATAGGATTTTATCGACTTGGTCGTTGTTTTGCTTGTTGAGGAAGTTAATTGTCTTTACCGAATGCTCAAGAGCCGCGTTATATTTTCTTTAATTTAAAAATTGCTTTCATAATACTTTTCATTACATGATGTCCTCTATATATAGACTAAATCTATTCAAAATTCGTAGGACAAATCTACATATATATATGCGTCAATTTGTTGATCGGTTACTAACATATATATATATATATATATTCCAGTCGGATTTCAATTTATTTGTTTTGAAAAAGAAGATATATCATATATGTGTATAGTCGATATGTATATATCTACAATAATCTACATGAACGAATCAACCCTATAGATCCTATATATACATTTTGTAAGAAATCAAATAAAAACTTTTAATCAAGTTCTGAATCCCCAAGTTTACGCATGTGAGTGAAATGTGAATCGAATATTACAATTCTTAATGCAAAGTTGACTCTATGATATATACTCATAGGCATAGTCATAAACTTTGACCATAAAATAAGATTTATGAATATTCTAAATCTGCTGAAAACTAAAAACTGAGTAAAAATTTTGACTGCGGAAATTGTTCAATCAATGATTCTTTTGCCTTTTTTTTTAATTCATTCTATTTGTCGGCTTCACTGAGGAAATTTCAGCATAAATGACTCTTATATTTTTTAATTTTCACCAATTATATAAAACAAAGAAAACCTTACGCGTTTAATTGTATATGACCTGACCAAGTCCCCGACATAATCCATTTCACTAAGACATTTTCATGTACTTATAGATAGATTGTATATTGGAATATTAATTAAAATAGATGTATCAATGTGTTAATTGGCTGAAGAGTTAGAGAAATTACTGATATATCGATGAAAATAGAAAACATGTACTTCAAAAAATGTTTGGAATATTTTCAAAAAAAAGAAAGAAAGTGTTTGGAATATTTTAAATTTTCTCTGTTTACTATATAAAAAATATATATCATACGCATACTTACTTAAATCTTCTATTCGGAACTTAGTCTTTTTCTAACATATTGGAAATCATGATTAATTTTTCAAAAACAGACAAACAACACACAAATACATTGACATCTCTAAGCTGAGTTTAAGTATGCGCGTAAATTAAGAGAGATCTTAATTTCATAACATTGACACAATGCCAAAACAATTTAACGTTTTCAACTAATTAACTGAATTAAGGATTAATTATCCAAACTTCACATAATTTATTGGAACGGAAAAGAAAATAATTTAAGTATGCGCGTTAATTAAGAGAGATCTTGATTTCATACATGAGAAATTTCAAAAAATGTCACTTTTCAAGTGCCACTTTACAAAAATGTCACACTTTTGAAATCTTTACAAAAATACCACTTTTTCAAAATTATTTTTTCTTTATATCATTTATGTTTGGGTTAATTATGTTCTATTAGGGTTTAGTTATGAGGGTTTATGGGGTTTTAAGGGTCAAAACATTT